ACTGAGACTGGCAAAAACATGTGGGAGACCTAAGGAACTTGGTGCAAGGTTGGTACTTGTAGAAGTTTGCTTTTGGCTGCCCTGTCTGAAGTTGGAAGCCCAAACTTCTATTTACTTTTAAGAAAAACAAAAGTTTGCATTATATATATACAGTTAAGCACAAAGCCAAGCTGAAATCCCCAAGTCATTTAAAGAAAGGTGGCCATAAGATTGTATGGTATCAAAGAGGTAAAAATCACTTCATTATCCTGTAACCAGCTGTCATTTGACTAAGGCCTTACTGCAGCATCCCCAGAAAAGTTATTAACTATATACAACTCAGTACCCCTCTGAACCATCTGCTCCTACGCTGCCACTTAGCTTCCTTTGAATGCTGTCTCCAAATGTGTGCTGTTTGGTTTTGTTTTTTAAACTCTGCTGATGGAGTTGCAGAGGGGACTTGTAAAGACAAGAGGAAGGGGGGAAGGAAAGCAGCTGCCAAGTTTTTGCCCACTATGGACGTGATGTCTCAGTCAGCTATGAAATAAAACTTCACCTTTCTTAGCTGATACATCAGCCTTTTCCTCCTGGAGGGACAGTAGGCACAGACATAGCAGCAATGTAATCTGCTGTTTATTCTGTGTATGTGCATGACTGTTCTCATCTCCCAGGAACCACCAAGAACTGACAAGGTTCCTAAGAGGATTCTGGTAGAAGCACTTTTAAAAACACTGACTGTGATGCCTGTAGCTGCTGCTTTAGTGAAACCAACTGTTTGTGTTATCTGAGGACAAAGGAACATGTAGATGTACATATACCTATTTCTATAGGTGCTACCTGCAACTGTAGGATTGTTGCACTGAAAATACAGTCAGGAGTCAGTATTTGGTTTGAAGACTCATGATGGCTTATCTTCCCCATTGCATCACAACTGGGATTAGAGGCTCCACATACAACAGCAATGGAGGGAGACCTTGATCCCCAAATTTGACTTCAGCTTCCAGCCTGTATACTTCAGAAGTACAATGATGACATTAACTGGACAAGAGCTTTTTTTGTTATCCAAATGGAGCTTGAACATGACTGAAAGGAGAGTTCCCCCTGGTGGCAACTTGCTTTTTGTTCTCCTTAGAGTAAAAAAAAAATGGACCTTCTGTCCAAAACATGGAAATCAGTACCCACCAAAAGGAAGATGCAGGTTTTACTAACTTACCAACCTGAGACTTGACTGTTTTTTGTGTCTACTGTTCTGTCACTTGTCTAGTCATGAATTTGTCACATCTTCCAGGTAAATCTTTTTTTCTGTTGAAAAAAACCCAACATTTTTCATTCCCAACCTCTTGCTGTCATTTAGGGAAACCCTTAACACCTTTGACAAATAAGGGTTTGATTTCCAACTACTAGTGCTCAAAGTATCTCCAGCACTGAATGGTGATGCTTAAAGTCTTATGGAAGCTTCATGGGTTTTTTATTTGTTTCTTTTGTTTTCTAAGAAAATACTCCACTCTCCAGGAGCACGGGAGAGATGCCATGACAAATCAGGCACATAGCGGTAGCAAGATGAGGAAAGAGGCTAAGGTTGTGTTTGTGCAGAGCCCCTTCCCTTCCATCAAAGATTAAGGCAGAATTGCTCCGAAAGGAATGAGTTTCTCATAATACAGAGAAGCGACAGCCTGAGCTCTGGCAGGACCAGCCAAGCCTAAAGCAGCGTGGTGAAGGAATGTTTGTTCTTCTGCTGAACAGCTGATGCTGCAAGATGCCAGGTGAGGTTCAGGCTGCCAGAGGAGAACCTGGGAGTTGCCTTTGAGAACCTTCAGCCCTGGAGCACAGCAAAAGTACTTGCTCACCTTAAGCACAGATTACAACACCCTGCATTCCTG